ACAATCTGGGCAGTTTTGTTGGTACTACTGCAAGTTTGGTGTCAACTCAACCAAGTGCATGCAACCATGCGCCTAGCCTAAGCATAATTCTAAGACAGCGGGAAACGAGTAACCCCTCCCCAGGTCGCGACGACTGAGGAGGGGCGCCTAAACAGTCGCTTGTTTTGTGTTAGAGACAGAAACTCGGGTTTGAATTTCTTGGTGGATACTGGCGCTGCTCTTAGCATCATCCCTCAAAATAAAACTAAGATTAGTCGAGAAACATCATCAATTACACTTCAAGCTGCAAATAAAACTAAAATCGCGACATTTGGGCAGAAAACTTTAACCCTAGATTTGGGGTTCAGGAGGCAATTCCCTTGGGTTTTCACGGTAGCCGACTTAGATCTGGCAATACTGGGGATGGACTTTCTAGAGAGATACGAATTTCTAGTTGACACCAAGAAACGGCGATTAACACTAAAAGAAACTTCGTATTACACAAAAGGCAAAGAAAGTCACATTAGCTCTCTTAACTTGATTCAAACTCCCCCAGTAACAACAGCGAAATTCCAAGACATACTCGCGGAATTTCCAAACTTAACCAAACCAAACCCACAGCCTTCTAAGGACAAACTAAAAGTGAGTCACACTATCAAAACCGAAGGTGCACCGGTGTTTGCAAAACCCAGGAGACTAGCACCAGATAAGCTCAAAATCGCTAGGGCCGAGTTTGATTATATGCTACAATTGGGTATTATCCGTCCCTCTGATAGTCAATGGACATCCCCTTTGCATATGGTCCCAAAGAAGAATGAAGGTGACTGGCGACCGTGCGGGGATTACAGAGCCCTGAACCGTCAAACCGTACGAGATAGGTACCCAATACCTCATATCCAAGATTTCACCAACGGTTTACAGGGTATGAACATATTCACTAAAATTGACTTAGTCAGGGCATATCACAATATCCCGGTGGCTGATGAAGATATTCCCAAGACAGCTATTACTACACCCTTTGGCTTATTCGAGTTTGTACGCATGCCATTCGGCCTGAGAAACGCGGCACTTCCTCAGATATTCTTATTCCACATTCTCACACTTTCTCTTGAAAGCACGCAGCGAACCGTCGGCGATAGTTGTAGAAGAAATCACATGCTACAAAATAAGATGACAAGCTAGTAAAGAATAGACATCCATGGACTATCGTTGACAGCGAGTTGATAATTTTTCTTTGGGATGAGAAATATAACTAAGGTGTTTTTGATAGTTAGGTTAATCGAACCGACGTTCCTACGGAAGTCGATTCTAGGGGGAAGCTAATGTAACAGCTTAGGTTGGTTGGTTAAGAGTTGACCACAAACAACCAAGCATATACCAAAACAGTATTTTTCAAGTATCCATTCACTTCCTTGTTTTGTATAAGCGTTATATTCCCTATTATCTTATATTGAATGTTGAGAGCCTTTGTTTGTCTGAACAGATAATCCCACGCTCCACTGTCACCGCGCGAAGATCGAAATAAAGACCTATTCACTACTTGTCTGGTTTCTTCTATCAATAGCACGAGGGTTACTTTAAGGCACGAAAGGTCTATCATATGCTTAACTGTGACTGGGGATAATTTGCAACCAGAAAAGGAAGTTACGCAAACGGACAAATTAGTGTTTCCGTCTACTAGCCTCCGTTTGTGCGCGTCGATGATCAGATTATGGTGTTGTAGAAGGTCCATACCAATGATTAGCATAGAAACATCAACAACGAAGATCCAGTGAATCGCTTTGCGTAAACCCACGTTAAGGTAAACGTACCTTTTGCCATACGTAGCGATCGGTTTTCCGTTTTCCGCCTGTAAGTTTAGGGTCGATCCGTGAAGTCGGTCGTCGGAATTCGCTGGGAGAACGCTAACCTCTGCGCCAGTGTCGACGAGGTAGCGAACTGTCGTTGTCACATCTGTGACGTATAACAGACGGCTATGTTTACCAGCTACGGTTGCCGTTAACGCGTACCGGCTTGGAAGTTTCCCGAGTCACTTGGTTTCGTGTTTGGAAAATTGCAGGGTTTTCTGCAATTTCTGGAAAACGTTCCATACTGGTTATGATACCAGCACCAGTCGGGGTTATCTGTCTCTCGTGGTCTAGAGACAGATCGCTTACGAGAAATGCTTCTACGTGGTGCGCGCGATCTCTTACGGTCGGTACGAAGACTAAGATAACGCGTGAGTGTGTGACATAACTCGGTTATATCATTCTGAGTCGTGTGAGGCTTTTCTTTGACTGAAAATACCACTGTAGTAGACGATTTCGTTATTTCTAAAATACGATCGGCAGATGCAGCCAGCTCGTCTAAGGCGTTGTTCTGGAACGAGACCAGAACTGCTTGCACCTGTTGAGGAAGTTTAGACAAGAAAAGTTGTTTGAATAGACCTTCGTCGAAAGTTCTTGGGAGTATAACCTCTCTCATTCGTTGCAACATGTCCGTCGCAGAACCGTGTTACAGGTCGATGTTATTGAAGAGTTGATCTAACCTTTGTCGATCGGTTAGGTCTCCTCGTTTAAGAATCGAACGTTTCAAGATTTCGTAAGGATCGGAAACATCACTAATAAACATACTAGGTGTTACGTAACTGTTGAATTCGCGCGGTAGTGCCTTGACTACTGCGAGGAATCGTGCACGTGTGTCGATCACGCCGTGCTCGTGGAAGTCGGCTTCTGCGTATCAGAACCAGGATTCGATATTGTCGGGCCAGAAAGGCATGAGTTGAAACGAAGGCGGGGACAAAGTCTTAAGCTTGAGAACATTAGGTGTCTGTTCAGTCATGATGAAATATGAAGTACGATAATGAACGAGGGAAATATATATATATATATATATATATATATATCCAAGAAAAAACACGGAAAAAAATCACAATGTTTAAAAAATAAAAAATAAGGCAATGATATATAAAAATCCCAAAAAGGAACAGACTCACAGTTGCAATTAGGCGTACCAGATCACGTCGGGCTTATAGCGACTCACGTGCAAATGAGTTTAGTTTCATCTAACGCAGTTAAACCCTTTTGCTAACTCATTTAGCGGACAGTCATTCGCACTGTGACAACTTATTGTACCCTTATTATTTTGTGCTTGTATGAAATACGTATGCTTGAATATTGCTTACGGCCTACGCATTTATTCACTCTGCTAGTCTTACTACTAACTGATTATTTGATTCGATTACTCATTCATTTCACATGGTATGTATATGTCCATGTTATTCATACTCAACACACACATTCACTCACACACTCTCGTCTCGCTCTTGCTATGGCTCTCGCTCGCTTGCTTGCCTTTCGGCACAACTCTTCTATGCTTGTTTAACGCATCTGTACATTTGGATATATGTGTGTGGTCTCGTAATAAACGTAATCAACACTTCGTATTTGCCTTCTGATTAATATACCGTTGGGACGTTATATAGAACGGTTATCAAGAAGAATTGTATACGAAGTTTAAGGATTATATCGAATACCGACCACCACAGGCTCACCAATGATGATGTCACAGGTATTCAGTGTTTGACAACGCTTTTACCAGTAACACCTAATATATTTCGTTCCCACCCAGAGAAATCAAAAGACAGAGTCGAGGAGATCGGAAGAGTGTATCTGGCGATTACCAATATATCGGAATTCTCTGATCTAATCTGGCTAGCGATTGCGGTAGATGTTGAGCACAGCATTACAACACGTGATCTGGAGCAGATGCATGGCCGAGCGCCTTCAGATAGATGAGTCCACTAAAACATATGTTCAGCATCCAATGTCGAAAACTTAGAGCTATTTATTTTGGGGACTTATTTACCGCTACACTGTCATTGCAGAGCGTAGGATCGTTAGAAAAATCAGCCTCTATCCAAACCACATCAGGTTTTTGATCATGATCAGGTTCATTTAACATATTTTACTCAGAATTGCAAGTAATTTCATTACAAATATGTAAATCATTAGGAAAAGTCATACCTGGTACAATAGCATGAGAACTCTGATAAATCGGTTGATTAGGAACTGTTGTCTCACAAGAATTCTGGATTTCATTTAACTCTGAACTGCCATATGACTCTGCACTGTCTTTTGAAATCGTTGATAAAGATAAATGATCATCATGAATACTCGACTCAGTAGAATCAGAATTACAAGACATAATATTAGTTGCAGTAAGATGAACATTAGCATTACAAACTGACTGAACTTGTCCAATATCACGACATTTGAAGCACTTAGAATTACGAAATTGACATGAATTAGAAGAGTGGAACTTGCCACAGGACAAACACTGACCAAACTTGTTCCCATCCTCATGAACTGCATCCAAACTCAATGAATTGTCTGCATAACCTTAAGTTTGCACTGGGTCAGGATGACGTAGTAATGTAGTGGTGTTTTTTATATCCTCATGAATCATTTTACGAGATCTCCCTCCTTTACCGCATTCGAAATTTGTATAATTAACATAGTCTAGCAGCAGTTCCTTGAGAGTTGTATAAGAAAGCGAGACAGACTTTTCCGGCATGGTCAGAATTCTTAATAAGCTGTATGCTTCTCTCCCAATGAATGTGAGGAAGTGTGCCACAATATTAACATCCTCATCATCTTCCTTGGTCATAGCCCAGATTTCGAACCTTTCAAAGTAATCTTCAAAATCTTCCGAAGTTGAATGAATATCTAACTTCTCCATCACAGGCTCCATCGCGACGACAATATTATTTGAATTAAACCACGAACTAAGAGTCCCAAAATTAACGCAATTGAATTAAGAAGTAAGACACAAGCACAAGCGAATGTATTGCATTTGGAATTCGAAATCGAGCATTCAACAAGTATAAAGGTATTATTAGTTCGTTCAAACACCACACTTCTCTAGGTGCTTGAAGTATACGGTTTTCAGGTGAGCACTTTACGTGAAAATCTCCTGTCCATGTATTGTTAGGCGAAACTACAATTTGTGGACGAACCAATAAGATCTAAGATAACAGGTATCGGGTTTTAGCGCGAATTTCATCCAGTCTATCGTCTAAATACTATTTTGGCATTATATATGATGTCAGTTCGTAACAAAAACCCGAAGTCTAATTCCTCACTCTAACCATCAACTGCATATCATAATTCTAATTCATCAAACAGCTTTATAACCCTTATATAGTCCTAGTTATTAGGTTGACATTTTCAAGGTCACTTTAACGTCGCTCGACGGACAACCATTAATTACCGTATCACGTATAACATGCATTCATATCCCAGTATGTCTTTTGTTTCTTCATAGATTTGTACCGAAAAATTCTGAGTTGGTCTATGTGATGGGAAGTGTATCGACAATGGGTTCCAAAAAGGGCTTGATGATGATACACTAATGTAATTCAGCTCATGTAAATGTTGGATTCATAGAATGATTCAGTAACACAGGGATTCGTATTTATTGTTTTGTCTACATCTCGCCAATTTGATTGGTCTTGTTCCGTACTCAGTTACTGTAAAAGTCAAATGAAAATTACTGTAATTACATGCCGATATGGCTGATACACTTATGCTGCTACCTGTTAGTTTTATCATTGTACTATCTTTAATTAACTGAATAACTATCTTGTTTGGCTTTGTTGATTGTTCTTGAGGTCGCTAATTACCAAGAACTAAATAGGCGTATTTACATCAGCTATATATCACAAACATCGGGAGTATATCCAATGAATTAGTAAATTAAGAAAGCTGAAATTGTTTAGAATTTCCACTCATTTCTCAATATAGGTGATATAATGCAGGAGAAACTAGTTGGTCAATGATCTCAGCGTAGAACTCGATAAGGTTGTGTGTTGATTCTTGTTACCAAACTTCATGTCAGTCCAGTAAGTTCAATAAACAAAGATAAAAACCACGTGGTAAAAATGACATCATTGAAAGTTTTATAAAAGTAAACATCGGAACAGCAGTCTAAGAGAACGAATAAAAGCCAACTAGAAATCTGTTTAACATTGAATTTTCAGATCTAATTAATGATTTACTAGAATTCAAGACACGATTCAACAAGTTCTCTGTTGTTTAATGTAACACCAGCTTCTGTGAGATCTCTTTTTCTTCGTTTTAAGACTTTGACGGAAACTTGGTGGCCCTTGTGAATTAAACCCTCAAATGAAGTAAAATTTTTGTGCATTGAATAACTTTTATCTGTTTACTACCAATTTTGTTTGTAAATATTCTAATGTAATGAGCTATGTTATGCTTCTGTAGCAGTAAAGTTTGGCATATGGACTAATTTCTGGTGGTTTTGTTTTATAAGTTAGGTGATTTGACTGTCGATTTTTAGTTGTTTTTCTGGACAAAATCTTAAACCCCCACTCCACGTAGAAGTGAGATTTCTGGTTGTTCCACAAACACTACATCTGTCTGTTCCCATGGCCATGTTTATTACTTGGTACCTTCGTACACTTTGTTACCTTGATTTGTCGTTGTATTCGTATCGACTGTCTTTGCTGGTTGAAATCTAACACTATGATTAATTGGCCTATTTCATGTAGGTTCGTAGATTGGGTGGACATCAATGCACCTGTTTATTCCCAACGGACTTAAGTGTTTTCCCCACGGAGGTTCCCTGGCCGTCTTGGGATTTCTCTTACAGATAGTTTCGAATTCTCTCTAGTTAAACTCACGTCTACGGTTGTCTACATATGTCGATATCAGTGATACCATATCACGTCTCTCTATTGCTGATCCGTGTTCCTTTATGGATAGATGAGGAGGACGTTCAATTTGTTCAGTGTGATAGGTCCCGTAGTTGGTGCAATTTATTTTGTAAATGATGTCTCATTTCTCTTCTTTTGTTGTTGTCTTTTGGTCTGTATAAAATGAAATAGAGTGGTCGCATTGGTTTGTGGGCGACGGTTATTCCAAAGAGCTTTAAAGCCCTTGTGAGGATTTCTGAGATGAGTTTCGCACATCGTAGGGCGATTTGTTTCTTGGTTGCCAGAGTTGTTTTCTTTACTTCTGTGATTAGTGTCTCGACGTAATTCGTTTTGTATGCTGTTGTAGCTTTTAATACTTGCTTTGTGTACCTTAGTTTTTTCCATACTTGTTTTTTACGTCCCTCTGTTTACTCTGTTGCCTAAAATATCAAAGAACAAGACCCTGTCTTCTGTTTCTTTAATTGTAAATTTGCTGTAGTTGTTAACGCCTACCAACCTACGAATATTTGCAAGTGATCTCTCTTCAGGATAACTAACATGTCACCCGCGTAACCTCTTCTAAATTGATGTGGTAATCATAAAACTAAACAGGATGTACCTGAATCCTAGAGTGTGTTGTTTGCCTGTATGTTTACTCATATGGCTAACCCACTAACATCTTAAGAGTTGAACTTAGAACTTAGTGGGTGATTGTTGTAGATTCTGTCTATAGAGCTCTCGATTACTCAAGAGATGAAATCTTGGGTTGAAGTGGAGATACGTTATCAAACACGCTCATGATTACTACCAGTGTCACCAATTCCGGGGGTAGATCTATATAGTAATAGTGTGGCGCTGTCGATCGTCTACTCAATAATGTGTACTTTTTCAATAAATTTGTGACTACATTTTATAAAGCCAGCTCAACAAAAAATGAAGTTTATGGAATACATTTTTCCTCTCTTTTGCTTCGATACTTTATAGAAACAGTATGGGAAAATTACAAAACTGGACATTTAGGTGAAAAAATGTCTGACATGAATGCATGAAATCTCATAACGTTATACGCTAGCTCGAATCTTGAAATGAAAGAAGTGTTCACGTGATCTAATAGATCATCTTGTTTTATTATTTTGAGCTTATCTCTAGAAACTTAGGGAAGGTCCACATCCATCTAAGTTATAACTTTGGTTCGTATAACCAGATATACATATATCTTTGGTGTTGTTCTTTGTTTATCAGAAAACATCTACAATATATCTGTTTTCTATTTTTCAACCCACCAGTTTACTTGAGCGTGTGATATTAAGATCTTATCTTGCAGTCTTTGGTTCTTATGAACCATGTTGATCCCTGAAGACCAAATATGGATGGTCGTTGTTGGTTTCATAATAGCTTTTATTCTTGCTTTTGGAATTGGTGCAAATGATGTGGCAAATTCATTCGGGACTAGTGTTGGGGCCAAAGTATTAACACTGAAACAAGCTTGTATTCTTGCTACAATCTGTGAATTAAGCGGTTCTGTTCTTTTAGGTAAATTTAGTTTGGTTATATACATACGTGCGTGCTTCTTCAGGTGCTAAAGTTTCCAATACCATACGGAAAGGTATTGTTAGTGTCGAACTTTTTCAAACCATCGACAACGGGCATGTACTCTTGATGGCCGGACAGGTTGCTGCTCTGGGTGGTAGGTCTATGAATATAATATTTTTTTCACTATATAATTTTTTTCTGGATTTCAAAAGTAATCAACTACATTTAATCTCTGGTGCTAACAGCTATACATGAATTAAATAAAACTGATAAGATAATAATTCTCCTTGTGATAATGAGCTATTTTACTTTATATATATCAACATTCGCTCGACCGTAGCTGCTATCGATGTGGTGGTCGGACTTGCCTATCGTGATGATTCTACTGAACTATGTCGGGGTAAGCACTTGTTTCTTTAGGTGCTGCCACACCAGGGAGGTCGGTTGGAAGACGGTAATACTAAAAGTAGCAACTTAAGGCCCACAGGCCAGATCGTACTGCTGACTGTAGTGGAGTGTGGGTGCAGTAAGGTGTTTTCTTCGGACAACCAGCATCTGCATCCGGCGGTAAGGCGTTTTGAAGTGCGAAGCAAGCTCATCAAAACGTCCCATATGAAGCCCGTGCGCAACTGGCCTTAAGAAGTTGTCCCTTGGGCTCTGTGGTCACACTCCTAGTTCGCCAAGACCACCACTAATTCAACATCCTTTTCAGGTCCCTCAAGAAGAAATATCTTTCCGCGGTGTTGGCAACCGGGAAGTGACAACCATTCTAATACTACTATCAGCACCCGAGGTCATCTTATTGACGATCGAACCACTTCTTTATCTCCTAATAATTCTTTCACCCTCATGAATAACCTTTCTAACTTATCTTTATCACCACGTGCCACTAACATTAATGATTTGAGTTCACGAAATGTTATTTCTGGTCTCTTGAAACTATGCTCTAAACTATATGTTAGAGCTTTTAATATTCGAACCTTGTGTCGGATGACACAACATGCTCCTTTAGCTAAAACCCTAGAATCTCGCGCCATCGATGTGTAATGCGTCTCCGAAACGCTCATACAGGGTCCAAGTACAATCATTCATTTGACCTCACCTTGTCAGTAAAGAGAATCGGGACGATTTGCCCTAAAAGTGACTGGAGACCCCACTGCTAGTTCCCGTGACCTCGCTGGTGTAGGTTTAGCATTAAATTCCAACTTAAAATAGGCTTTCCTAGACGGGACTCGAATAAACAGTCGCTTGTGTGCTGTCCAGCTAAACGGGACAGGAAGAACTCGATAACCTCATAGATGATATCATCACACTAATAAAGTTGTAAGTTCGATTTCGGACCAAACGCATCCTGCAAATCTGGACAGACGGTGTACATCTCGAACTCTATGGGTGTGATAAACGGACAAAGTGGCTGACTTAGTAGATGAGGAACTCAAACGACTTAATCTCTAATCCGATGCATTCATCATCACCGGTACAGCAGCGACACGGACATGCTCAGATCGCATTATCCTATATGTACTTTGTCTTCGTGTCAACTCTGCTCACTTATCGTTTTGATGGATCGTCCCATTATGACTATAATTATCATATTCTCATCATTACATGAATGTCATATCATCACCTAACGTGGGATTATTATTTTTGTTCGTGCTGACATTGGATTATGACATATACGCAATCATATCACTCACCGACCATTTATTATTTTATTTTATTTGAACATATAAATATTGGTACAAGAGAGCGCCAATATATATGCGCCACACAAAACAATCAGAATTCGATGAGAAAGAAAAAATAGGTAAGGAGCTATATATTTTTCGAGTCATATCTTCGATGTCCAATCTTGCCTATTATCACTGATACTGTTACTACCTCTACTGCTCTAGGATCTGGCCTGACAACAACTTCATCTCTCTGTGCTATTGGGGTATGGCAACTTGAACCGATGTACATGCGTATAGGTTCTACGTTGTGATTGACTAATATCAACTGTTAAATTACAGTTGTTACCAAACTGTTTAATGTCTTTTGCACAATAAAACATTTGATGGCAACTTTCAAAATCTTAAACACTTAGTCAGTTTTAAAAGGAGATTTTATTATTCCAAAACAATGACGTACTTATTACAATATTGATAAAATAATTGTCAAATTATTTGTTAGTTTTTATCCTATGTTTGAGTGAAACTGTGTGCAGAATCCAACCTAGTTTTTGTGATTATAGTTTTAATGTCAAGTTGGCACATTTATACTCCATGTTCTTAACAAATGTTTACTTCTCTCAAGGTGATTGCTAATTTCCTGTTAAAATAATCTTTGTTGTAAAATAATTTGTGACTTATCAAAATTTATTATTGGTTGCATTTGTGGTAGGCATTTTTTTAATGCTATTTATTTTTATTTAATAAAAACGAACCCATTAGATATTTGTATACTTGTTTAGCAAATGTTATGTTTGCTTAAAGCCTGTAATATTGGATCTAATGAACTCATGACAAGCAGTTAAATGTATACACTGTTATTATGTATTATTCAATTTGGGACTAACTCGAACATTTTGAGATTATTTCAGGTATGTAGCATAGTTAGTATAATGGTTAAAAGATAACTTCTTACAGTTTTCTTAATCTCTATTCTGACAGGCGCATATCAGTTAATTAAACTCGAATATCAAATAATTGACATTAAGTGGATGTATTTGATAATCATAAGCTTTTATCACCAGTAAACTGTATTCATAGAATTATACATATACTGATAGAGTTTACGGAGATATTCACTATTTCGAGTAACTTTTTTCTACCATTTTCTGTTATATTTGTTTCATTTGTCTATAGGTTCTTGTATTTGGCTTTTGGTTGCTACATTCTTCCGTCTTCCAGTCTCTGGCACACATAGTATTGTAGGTGCAACGATAGGTTTTAGTCTTGTTGTTTTTGGACTCAATGCTATTCAATGGAAAGGACTACTCAAAATTGGTAAGAATTTTTTTTAAATATAAAGATAATGAACATGATAATTATTTTTCTGAATACCCTTTCGATAATTTAATGAGAATAAATTATTTAGTAGCGATGTTGTTTACTCGATACTGCAGTAGTTAGTTATTCGTGTAGTAAAGATTTTAGCCTTATATGAATGATTATGATTTCATACGAATTCATAACTTTGTAGTTTGAGTCCCATTTCAAACTTGAACAACATGAATTCTACTTGTTAGTAAAGTTATTATTACCATTTAGAAATGTTTAGAAATGTAAGTAATTTGTCCCTTTATGCGTCAAATGCTTAAGCATTGATGCTCCTCACAGTATCTTTATGAATTAAACTATTTTTCTTATGATAGCTGTTGCTATTGGTAAAATCTAGTTCCCTTTTAATAAACAAATAACTGCTTAGGTCTAGACAACTAGACATGGCTATCTATATAATGTACTTTATGCACCTTGATTTTCAATAGTAAACTACAGAACATTTCGTAAATTTCACTTTGTTGTATTCTTATGCTGGAGCGTAGGATAACCCACATGATTTAGAAAAGCCTAACAGAAAACGGATGATTCGATAAAACCTGGGGGAGATTTTGAATCATAAGACATTCTGATAATTAATAAGCTATAAAAGTTACATTACAAAATATAAACATAGTCTGTTTTTCCTTATTATCGCTTTTTAACTACGTTGGAATCATAATACGTCAAACATTTTTGTCAGTCTGAGGTTGTGGAGATTGTTGAGTTTCAATGAAATCACAAACCGATTTAAATCAGACAGCCATCCGAAAATTGGAAGCACTAGACTGCCTTTTCATTTTAGCGTGCGACTCCTAAATAGTGTGTACCCACGATCCCAGAACCGGGGTTCGAACCCAGGACTTTCTGTCTACAGAACAAAGGTGATAAGTGTTAGATTTTATATACGTATTATGTTTTGTATATATGGTTATACGTTTTGGAACAGTTTTTACTGCACACTATGTATATAGTCAAACAGTTTGTTCCTGGATTAAACTTACTTTATTGATGTGTTTTCCCATGTTAGGTGATCAGGATTAGACGGTATATTTCATCATCTGACTCAACAATGATTGTATGTGTTCACTCAGCTGATTTCTACTATTTATGTAAAATTATATGCATATGCAAATTCTGTCACAATGATGGTTCCACAAACAACGCAAAAATATAATACACCGAGTTGCTTGAAGTAATGTTTCGCTTTTCTATATTTAGAACAAAATCAAACAATAGTAGTCTCAGTTTTTCGAAAACGAAGTTAACATAGATCTATTTTGCAGTAGAATGAGGTATCTAAGATCCAAAGCAAAACTTATATCTGATTTATATTTACAGGAGAACACTAGATATAGTCGTTTGAGTATGATGTCATCGGTGCAAAGATATATTTCGTATTTATTTTTTCTTCAAGTAGTGAAAATTTAATCGTTTCTGATCAGTTTGCTATTTGTTCCATTGTTTGTTTGTCCTTCGCTTTGGTATTTTAGAAATAATATTTCTTTTCTTGAAGAAACATTTCTGTTTGCCTATATTCTTCGTGTTTACTTCAACACTTTTCTCTTTTTGCTCCGCTATGAAATGCTACAATTAGTTAGTATGTATTTATTATTCATGGTTTGATAATGCTGAGTCTTCACCACCTAATTATGAATAGTACTTGCTGTAATTTAAGGGATCACATTGGTTGGATGGGAAATCTATATATTCTATGACGGTAGTGATTTATATAATAGTGGACTAAGATAAACTAAATATAATGAATAATCTCATAGACCAAATA